CTGGACTTCTGGCAGTTCTCTGCTGATGTGCTGTTCCAGTCATTTTTGGATAATCTTCAGTAGAATCTTGCTTGCATGTGAAATCAATGATATTGATATCTAGCTGCCTGAAATGTGGTGAAGTTACTTCCCAATTTGAGCTCCAGTCTCAATGTCTGGGAGAGGAGATTTGATTGGTGCCTCCCAATCTTCATTAGAACCACCTCAGAGGAATTTAAAAAGAGATGCTCACTTGTCTGAAATGTATTTTTTAATAGTTCAGGGGGGATAAGATCCCTCTCTACATATATCTAAAGTTGAGGGGTGTTTGAGAAAGAGAGAAAGATCCCCAGAATCTGCCCTTCTGATGACACTTTTTGGAATGTGGGCTAGTTATTGACAAGATTAGGATACTGTTCTTTTTCCCCCTTTGAGTTGATTTTTTTTATTATGATTTTCATTATGATTTTAACCAAAGTTTACAGAAAATTTAGATTTTCATTCATTCATTCGTTGTTGCACATTTTTCTCCCTCTCCCTCCCTCTCCCTTCCCCAATTTCTCTCTCTCTCTTTTTTTACTATTAATTACAATTTCCTTTCTCCCCCTCCCTCTTTCTCCCCATCCACTTTGCTATACACTTCTTATTCTGGACTGTTGTCATACATATAATGTTTACTCATCTATTCCTTTAAACAGTTTTTCCTTCATCTGTTCCAATGTGGTGTTCATTATCTAATCCTTCTTTTCCTAGTTTCCCACCAGCTCCCCATATCAGCCTTGTTTTATAACAGTAGTTTTATGCATTATTTGTCTTTTTGTGACTGAGATATTTCATTCAGCATAATGTCCTCCAGGGTTACCCATGTTACGTAATGTTTTACGAGGTCTTTGTTTTTCAGTGGTGCAAAGTATTCCACTATGTGGCTATACCATCATTTTTCTACCCATGCATTTGTTGATGCAGATTAGGACAATATTAATTGCTACTCACCGTATGGCTGATATATTCATTAAGTGGGATAACTTTGTTGCAAAAATTACAGTTGATTTTCATCATAGCAGCTGACAGTCTCTTCTCTGAAGAAGCACAGAAACAACATCATAAATTATGCCCTTGACAATGGATAGCCCAGCTCTCTCTCCTGCAAATGCTTGTGTATCCTGGAACCATTCCCAGGGCTGCCAGGTTGAGAGTTCTATTTGTTCTCAGAATCTATGGCCACACAGGCAACCCTCACCTGCATGCCCCCATTGTCTCCCTTAGGGCTACTGACACACCTTCAGAGCATCAGTGGACCTATAGAGGTTTTCCTGGAACAAGGTAGTTTTCTAAGGAGATGAAGGGACCAAAAGCATCTAATCTGACAACTTGTTTCTTCCACCAATTTCCAAGCTCTGTGATCAAACTAGGTGTTGAGTCTGTGTATATTATACATCTCTGTAAATTATACACCCTCGGAGTTCATGCTGAGATGAAGGAAATGCATTTGAATTCCATGAGTCCCAGTTTCCCACTTGCCAATTTTGACACTGGAGAGATTGTTTATCAGGAGAGATTCAAAGAATTCTAAGAGTTTTAGGGTCTCTGCACACGTTACTGTGCTACCAAAGCAGCCCATGAAATCAACAGAGCACACTGATAGCTGTGGCCTTGGGAAACACCCTCATAAAGGGGTAATCAAGGCAAGGGGACCTGACATGGTTCCAGGGAGCCAGCACATTATCCAAAGGTCAGAGGCTCCTGTCTGTACCTTCTGGGTGGTGAAAAAGCTCTAGATTTGGTATTGGGACATGGGTGTTCAGTCTTAATCGTGTCTATTTCAGGCCCCTGAATTATTGCGTGTGTACGTTTTTCTTGTGGAAAAGAATGAAGATGAGCAGGAAGATTTTGGCCAGGTTGGAAAGATGCTGGCTTCAGTGGTGGCCTCGCATGTTCTAGGGACCCATCAACAGCCCTACACTCCTCTGTGTGCCTTCCAGGCACCCACCCCCAAGTCTCTGGATCTCTATGGACAGGTCATTTGAAGATCACAGCCAACATGTAAGAAGGTCACTCTAGTGCATGGCCTTTAACTGCCTGGCCAACACATCTGCTACAGGAATGGGAAAGAAACAACAAATACCCTTGTCATCTGTCCTTTTGAGAGTGTCTGTTCTTGCACCCCAACCAGGGGAGGCCTTGGTCCCTGAGGCTCCCCTTCGCCTCTCCACCCCACACTCCTCACCTCTCCGGGACAGAGCCTGCCCTCCTATGCACATGTCTTTGTGGTGGGCCAGCTCTCGGAGCAGGATGAACTGGTTGCAGTCTGGACAGTGCTCTGTCCGGCTGCCACATTGGCGCTCGTGGATCTCCAGCTTGTTGAGGCCCAGGGCCAGCTCACAGAACTTACACGGGACCTGGCGCTTTGGACATTCCTGGGCCTGTGGAGAGACAGGAAGGGAGGGCATGATCATTAACCCCTTTGGTTGGACGGAGACTGGGGACTTGAGTCTGTCTCCATAGGCAACTGAAGCCAATTAGAGGACGTAGATGGGAAGACCCAGAGGGAGAGACTGTCCATAGGGGAATCTGAGCTCTGTTGGGTTCACAGACCATGGGAAGCCTTCTGGTCTGTATGAGGTAAGGAGGACCTGGGTCCCTGTCGTGGGCTGGTTCTTCATTGCTCTCAGAGCCAACTTGGGCAGGAAGAGAGAGGTCAGGGTCAGGGGGTAGAGAAACTATTATTGGCCTCTCCTCTTTCCCTCTCCCTCTCCTCCTCCCAGGTTCTACCTACGTGGCTATGAAGAAGAAATCACATGTACATCTCACCTCATGAATCTCCAGCAAGTACTTCTGTATATTCTGTTGACACATAGCACACTCAGCCTAAAGACAAAGAGAAACGTGGGGTCCACCTGGTCCCATGTTCCATCCTTTCTTTCCCCACATCTTACCTGGCCCATGGTGTGTTGTGTTTAGTTTGGAAATTCCTGGAGGGCAAGGCTCAGGCATGGTAACCTCAGTTCCCCTGCAGCATCCAGCCCAGAGCTCAGGGATGTCTGCAGGCCCAGCTGAGTTCACATGGATTGCCTGAGCTAGGGCATCTCCAGAAAGACAGTGTGAGTGGGTATCGTGTGGCGATGTGACCACGATGCTCAGTTTAATGTAACTATTCTAGGTGTTGTTAATTCTAACCTCTATGATGTTAAGAAGGCAAAGATTACAAGCAGATCTTTATAGATATGGTAAAGCTTATCAGAATAATGGTTGAGTCTGTTTTGGAAAGAAGTGAAATCAGGGTGCTCCTTCAAGACAGGGGGGTGGAAACTTCATCTCACACACTTTGGGCATGTTGTGCAGAGAGGCCAGTCCTCGAAGAAGACAAAAATCTTTCATCCTGGGAAAGGCGGAGGGTTAGAGAAAGAGAAGAAAACCCTCCACGAGATAGATTTGACACATGCAAATCCATGTTTATTATGACTTTGTTCACAATAGCAAAGAGGTGGAAACAACCTAAGTGCCCATCAACAAACAACTGGATAGAGAAGCTGTGGTATATTCACACAATGGAATACTATGCTGCACTGAAAAACAAGGAACTCATGCAATATTATTCAAAATAGGTAACCCTGGAGGACATTATGCTGAGTGAAATATCTCAGCCCCAAAAGGACAAATACTGCATAGTGCCACTGTTGTAAAACGGGACTGACATAGGGGCTGGGGGAGTCTGAGAAAGATGGGATAAATAATGTATACTGCATTGAAACAGATGAGGGAGAAAACTGTTTAAAAGGGATATATGAGGATATATGATTAGGTATTATTGTCATGACAGGAGTCCAGAATGAAGGCTGCATAGTGGAGTGGACTTGTGGGGAGGGATTGTATAACAGTGAGATAATTTTTCTTTTACTTTTCAAAGAGAAGAGTGTACTGGAGGGGAGGGGTGGGCAGGGAGAAAAGTGCAACAATGAATGAATGGAAATCCAAAGTCTCTGTAAACTTTCATTAAAATTAATTTAAAAAATATTAAAAAAGATGGTTTGACAGTGTGACAGTGAGTTTGAGCATATTAGGGATGGTAAGGACGGGGCAAGGTTCACATCTGTTGTTCAAAGGGTGGCGAGGAGTCATAGACGACTTGATGGCATCTAACAGCAACTCAGAATTGTGTGGTATTTATGTTTGGACTCTGGCAATAGATCTAGAGGCTTTTTGTCAATCTATATCTGGCTTTCTGACTTCATGTCTCCAGACTAAAACAGTTGCCTATTGTACTTGGATTCATCAGTATCCAAAGCCAGCTGCCTGTGACCCTGTTCCCTAACAATTGTCTTTGGACACATCAGCCTCTAAAGCCATAGGCTTCAAAGGCAGAAACGGCTTCAAAGGCAGAAGCCTAAAAGCCTACTGATCTGCTAATGACTGAACTCCAGCTTCTCAGATGCCTCCATATGGAGGTAAGACCTATGAACCTGGGCTTGCTTCTGCAAGTACAGGAGCCATACTCTTGAAATAAAGTATGTTTTCTCTTTCTCTCTCTCTCTCTCTCTCTCTCTCTCTCTCTCTCTCTCTCTCTCTCTCTTCTCTCTCTCTTTCTCTCACTGGTTTTGCTTCTTTAAAGAACCCAACCTAAGACAGACAGAAGGCAGAGTGCCTTGGGAAGAACTGATGAAACAGCAGTCAAGAAACGTCAGCAGGTACTGACCGGCACCCAAGCCTCATTTCTGCTTCCCTTCTTTACAAATCTCAATAGAACTTTCAACCTTTTTGGAAACAGCACTTCCTTGCCTTGACCAACTTTCTAAGTCTATAGGGAAAGGAATAGAAATGGGGAAGACCGGAGTTACGCTCAAAAAGTTAGACACAGAATTACCGTGTTGCTGTTCAGTGTCATGGAGCAACCTACAACACCTAGTGGCAACGGAATGAACCCTGCCCAAACCTGTGTCCTCCTCACCCCCTTTGCTGTGCCCAAGCCCATTGCTGCCGTCACAATCTCAATCCATCTTGTTGAAGATCTTTCTGTCCTTCACTGACTAGTCCCTCCTGGCACCATGCCCAAAGTATGTGAAAGGAAGTCTCGCCATTCCTGTCTCTAAGGGGCACTGTGGCTGCATTTCTTCCAAGACAGATTTGTTTATTCTCTTGGTAGTTCATGATCCAGTCAATATTCTTTGTTGTCACCACAATTTAAAGACGTCAATTCTTATTCACTGTCTAACTTTCACATGCATATGAAGCAACAGAAAATTCAATGGCTTGGATCTTTAAACAAACATCCTTGCTTTTTAACAATTTTGAGGTAGGATAGGGTCTAAGGGCTCCTTCTCACAGGAGTGTAAAATATTAAGTAGGATATTTTTTCTGTACTAACAAGTACTTTAAATCATACACCTGCCTCACATTTAATCAGTTTCCTAAATAATCAACTTCTTTGTTCTGTTCCAATGATAGCCTATTGCTCTGTGTACAGGTTCCACATCAACATAATTAAAATGTTCTGGAACTCTCATTCTTCACGATGTTCCCTATTCCAGGACTCTGTCCAGGAGGAATGCAAACTGAATTGTGGACACCAGTGTTTACCAGACCACTTTTCACAAAAGCCAACAGACAGATGGCAATAACCAAAACGCCCATCGACAGATGCAGAGATAAACCAGATGTGGTGTTTACACACAGTGCAATATAACGGCATGACTGGGAAGAGAAATGCAGTCCTTTTACATGTGACAATGTGGACGGATGATGGGAAAGTTACAAAGAGTATGCTGAGCAAAAGAAATCAGTTGCAAAAGGACTCTATATGCTGTCATTAAATGAAATAAACAGAGATAAAGAAACCAAAAATTATGCATAGTGAGCAGGGATGAGAGAGAGAGGGGAAGGGGAGCGACAGAGGCATGCTGTGTATGTTCGTGGTGGAATATGCTGGAAGAAAGACATGATAATTGTAGCACACCATGATAAATGTAATCAGTGCTACTGAATTGTAAGTGCACAAGTTGTTGCATTTACAAATGTCTTGGTGTGTATATTTTTACAATTATAAAGAAAGAGCAAAACAAGCAATGAGAACAACACTGGACTTGGTACAAGAGAGGGGTGATTCTTCTTTTCTCAGCTGGGGACTGGTGCTGGGAAGGACCACCTGCCTTCCCCAGGGAGGCTGGGTAAATGGGCATAGTCAGGATGCGCTTTCGCCCCTGGTTCTTTGCCTGGCCACCCCCAGCCTCCATTCACCCTGGCCCCTCACCTCCTTGTGCCAGTTCTCAAAATGTTCTTCTATCTCCTTTTTGGGAACAGGCTCCTTGCATTCTGGACAGATGACCAAGAACCGCACACAATGGGCTTCATGGAGGGTGAAGTGAGCAGATGCTACCTCTCTTCTGCTGCAGGATCAAGAAGAAAAGAGAAGCATAGTAGAAATAAAATATGGGATCGTATCTCACACCCAGACCGTGCTTACAATGGGTAGCAAAGCGCAAAGGCCTCTGGGAAGGGTCCATCCGTCCTCTTGTCATTAAAGAATTAATTGCTGTCTGGCTGGAACCAACTGATAAAATGACTGTCTTTTGAGGTTATAAATTACATTGGAGGAAAATGTCCACCTTTATCTTTCTGAGCCACCTGTGCATTGGCATCACCAGAGGGGTGTGTCCTCTGGGTTAGCGGAGCAACTCGCTATAGATTGCTGTTGTTGCTATATGCTGCCGAGTCAACTACAATTTATAGGGACTATAGGAACAATGTCTCTGAACCTTGCCTTGGCCTGAGCCAGCCTCGTGTTCTCCGATACACCCCACCCCATTGCCCCAGTCACTGTTTCAATCCGTCTCATCCAGGGTCTTCCTCTCCTGCACGGACCCTCTACTGTTCCAAGCATGATGTCCTCCTCCAAAGACTAGTCCCTCTTGGCAACATGCCCAAAGCATGTGAGCTGGAGTTTGAAAATCCTTGCCTCCAAGGAACAACCTGGTTCACCTCCCTTTCCAGCAAAAGACCTCTTTCCCTGTAGATCAGGCAACCAGCACTCCCTGGTCCATGCCTTGCCATGGCGTGAGGTGCTTTTGAGTCAACTACGACTCAAAGTGACCCTATGAGCAACAGACCTGAATCCTGTCCTATCCTGTGTCATCCTCATCATCTCTGACATATTGGAGCCCATTGGGCAGTCCCTGTGTCAGTCCATCTTGATTGTGGTATCCCTTCTTTTCACTGACCCTCCACCTTTCCAAACACGATGTCCCTTTCTGAAGAGTAGTGTCTCCTAGAAACATGCCCCAAGTATATGGGGCGGGGGGGAAGGCTTTCAAAAGCCAGGTCCTTCAACACCCAGTTCTCCTCAGAAGTATGGTCCTGGAACCCCTTTCTATCGCCCCTCCCACAGCTCCCCATCAAGGTTGGGCAGGAATCCCTACTGGGGTCTGACCATATTGTCAGAATCCCCAAAGTCAGGCCCAGTGTCTAGGAGTGTAAGCTGTCCGGTGGGCACAATCAGGCAGCTGTTTGTGTTCAGGACTGAGCCAGAAAATCGAAATTGTCTTAAGGACAGCACAGTCAAGCCCACATAATGCTGACCCTCACACCTCACCTCGGCCCCACCTGCCCACTTGGCCCTGGGAGCATCTTATGTGGGCTCTTTTTTCCGGGTTTTGTTGTTGTTGTTTTTTGGTATGTTTGCGTGTGTGTCTGCCCCCTCACTGCTTGTTCTAAGGAGCTCATTCCTCGACGGTGTCGTTGTTTGTGTTAGACCACTGTTTGGTTAAGAGGTGGCCTCGGGAAAGGATTGCAGTCCCCAGTTAGGAGGGTGGCTTAGGGCAGTAGTCTTGGGGGCTCTTACCAGTGTTTGCACATCTGGACGTCTCCCTCCATCGTCTGTCTCTTTGGTTAGTTTCGTTTTATAACAGAGGAAGAAACAAAAGTGAAACTATCTCAGAACCCAGCCCACAGCGCTAGGAAGGGAGGGGACACTACAAGGCTCAGCCCAGGGCTGCTCCCATTCTTCTGAACAGGACAGTGTCACCCACCTCGCCAACACACACACACACACACACACACACACACACACACACACACACACACACACGAGAGAGAGACAGAGAGACAGAGACAGAGAGACAGAGAAAGAGAGAGAGAGAGAGTTAGTATCCATGCTAACATTCCACAACCCCCTGGCACCTGCCTTGTCTGTGCTGCTGTCACTGTGTGCCTCTGTTCATCTTGTCCTTCTGTCATCCTGTCCCTCTGTCACCAGTGTCACTGCCACTCTGTCCCTCTGTCATCCTACGCTATTGCCACTCTATGCCTCTGTTATCCCATTTCTTGGTCACCACTTGTTTCTGTCACCCTGTATCTCTGACATCCTATCCTTCTGTCACCCTGTACCTCTGTCATCTTGTGCCACTGCCACCCTGTCCATGTGTCACCCTATACCTTGGCCACTCTGGGCCCCTGTCACCTTGTCCCTCTGTTTTTCTGTGCCACGGCCACCTGTGCCTGTCATCCTGACCCTCTGTCATCCTGTCCCTCTGTTATCCTGTGCTACTGTCACTCCATGTTTCTGTCACCCTGTGCCACTGTCATGGGCCGTATCTATGACCCGAAGGGTGGCAGCCAAGGCCCTTCCTGGCAGCCCCTCCCCTCACTCCAGAGGCTTCACCCCACCAGTCAGTCCCTCCTCCTCTGTCACAAACTACTGGCCTCCTACCTTTTCCCTTCTGACTGATTCTCACAAGTTCTTTATCCATAAGAGGGGGCCAGCCAGGAAGAACTTGAGGGCAGCTTCCTGAAAGTGCCGTCTCCTGCAATAGCTACAGAGTCAGGAGATGTGAGTGGAATCCTGGTAGTTAATTAACTAATCTCTTGAGTAAGCTTAGCCTTCCTGGGTTTCTGTTTTGCCTCATTTACTGGATTAAGCTGTGGACCTATCAGTGGGACTTCCCAAAGTCTGATGTTCCTGAAAGTTGCATGCAAAGTTGCTTCATATGGGTAAGTACCTTTTCCCGAGGAGGATCTGAGGTTTTGATTAGATTTTCAAGAGGCATGTACAACTCTTTATGGTCATAATGACAGCAATTCTCAACTTAAAAGTTTGAGATTCATCAGAACTATGTCCTGTAAATGGCCACGTGTGTCTAAAATAAAATGCTCATAACAGAATAAAATTATTATGGAACATTTGTAAGTTTTGATACTTGCTGTGTTTGTTCTTTCTGCAGAGAAAATCAGGACACACATATTGGAGAAACAAAAATGATGAAACAGTATTTTAGTTTGCTAATGTTCTCAGAAGTGCTGAAAGTGGGTGGCTTTGGAGAACTGAATTCTATTTCCTTACAATTCTGCACTCATACACAAATAGAATCCTGCGGAAAAGAATTCAGAACATTTGGAGCAGTGTATAGCCAGCAGCCAGAAATTGAAGTTGGATTCAGAAAATGAGGGTTATCACTGCTGAAGCTGAATGAATTTGCCTGAAAGCAAAGAATATAGGGAAAGACACCTGTTGTTCTGTTGGGTGTGTAGAGACATTCGTGTACATTTCTTCTGAGTATTCCCGGCCTCTGGCAAGCCTTTATTTGTAGACAGGTTCTCACAAGGTATCTGTCTTCCATCTCTCTTGTCTTTTTAAAGAGCATCGCTCAGGAGCTAGAGTACTCCCTAGAGGTGAGGGTATTTTGAGACTACATCTCTCATACTCTGGGCCTCTTGTCAGGAAGGACCAGCTCGTGAAAAAGTGCATCATGCTGGGAAAGGTGGAAAGGCAGCAAGGGAGAGAGAGACCCTCCATGAGACAGAATGACACAGTGACCCCCACAATGGGGTGTGAGGACAGTGCTGGACCAGGCGAGGTCTCACCCTGTTGGACACAGGGCCACCGGGAGGTGGAGCTGACTCAACGGCACCCACTGACAACAGCAGAAGGTTTTCTACTCGTTATTGTTGTTAATGCCGTTGAGTCGTAGGTGACCCATGAACGAAAGTCCTCTACAGTTGCGTGACTTTCATCCTTTCTCCATGTTCCATGTTGGTAGGGTTTTCCGAGGGAAGCTATTTATGGAAGTGGATGCCACTCCTCCTTCCAATACTGCTCATTAACACAGAAAACCAAATTATATTTCCAGATATTGTGGTTGGATGCCAACGAGTCGATAGCAGCTCACAATTCCCCCTATTTATAAAGAAGAATTTCCCCATTGAGTTTCCAGATTGTTTTTTCTCCCAAATGACCACTGGTAGGGGGTGGGCTCAAACTGTTGACCTTTTGTTTAGCACTGAGTGTGCAATCACTGCACCTGTATTTACAGGTACAAAGGTTAGGACTCCCCCAATATTTTCTGGGAGCTACAATTTAACTCATCAAAAATGGTATCCTTAATAACTCAGTAATTTTTTATTTATTATTTTTTTAAAAGAAACAACAAAACTCCAGGCCTGCGCACCAGGCTTTCATCGGACCCAACAAGAGGCTTCCAGCCCACACTCAGCACCAAGCAGCCCAGAGCTGTATTTAAAAGTTGGACCTGAGGGATTAGAGTTTAATCCCTTGTTACTATATTTTGGAGGAACACTGTTCTAAATCGTACAGCACTCTTCTGTCAATTTGCTGTGCTCAGGTAACCTGGGTTTGCTGTGACACTGAACCATGTGCCAAATGCCATAATGGCTGCCCATGGTGGACAGTGTTTGATGGAGCTCCCAGTTTAGGACAGGTGTGGGAGCAGAAGTGGCATTCACTTCCTAAACCACATGCCTCTGGAAACTCTATGAACTTGGAGAAACAGCGATAGTTATAGAAAGGCTTCAGGCCTTTTGTTCATAGGGCCACCATGAGTCATGCTTGACTAGACACAATCGACAACAACAACTCAGTATGCATTGAAAAGACTTGCAAAGGATTGCAACTCCATGAAGAACATTTGATATTATATACTTTGTGTTGATTTTTTTTCAAGAGATTAAATGTATTATTCTGTTTCCCAAAATTTTATTAGCTTGAGCGTCACCTCCAGGAAGCTCCGGAGTCTAGACCACAGGGAGCTGAGTTGTTAGCCTCAAGAAAGCACCTTTCAAGTGGTTCAATTCTATCAGTGGCTCCATGGCAGGAAGATGGGCAATCTCCTCCCGTGCAACGTATAGCCTCCACTAGCCGGCCAACACTTAATGTGTTCAACTCGCTGGCAATGAGTTTGAACATTCACTGTTATTGCTTATAAATGTAATTATTATGGTATATCGAGGAATGAATTCTGATTGTCATCTTACACCTTTAAGTGTTTTAATGGCTTTGAACTTGAATAAGTAGTCTACCTGGGAGGAAGTTCAACCAGCATGTTAGCAGGAGGGACCAGTCCTTGGAAAAAACATCATGCTTGGAAATGTTGGTGGTCAGAAAGAGAGGGAGACCTTCAACAAGATGCACTTGACCATGATGGAGATTGTGAGGAAGGTACAGGATAAGGCAATGTTCTGATCTGTTGTTCATAGGGTCACTATGAGTTATAGTTGAGTTGAGGACACCTAACAACAACAATGCATAGCTTTGTAACACTTGACAATTGTTTGGTAGTCTAACGCCCTAAATAGAAATGAGTAGGGAGGCTAATAATTAGGTAAAGAACCTAGTGTGGGGTCTGGCCATTTAATGGAACTCTTGGTTTAAGGCAGTAGCTTCTAAACTTGTCTGCACATTGAAATTGATTGTTGTTGCTGTTTTGTGCCGTCAAGTCGACTCTGACTCATAGCAACCCTATATACAACAGCTCTGAACCCTGCTCTGTCCTGAGCCAATTTCATTGTCTCTGACACACCTACTCCCACTACCCCAGTCACTGAGTCAATCCATCTCATGCAGGGTTTTCCTATCTCGCGCTGTCCCTCTCCATGGACTGATCCCTCCTTGCAACATGCCCAAAGTATATCAGATGAAGCTTCAAAATCCTTGCTTCCAAGGAGCAGCCTGGTTTCACCCTCCCCAGGACAGACTTATTTGTTCTCTTAGCAGTCCATGGTATATTCAATACTCTTCTCCAGCACTATAACTCAAAGGCATCGATTCTTTTTCTGTCATCCTTAGTCATCGTCCAGCTGTCTGATGCATAGCAAATAATTGAGAAGAGCATGGCCTGGATCAGGCGCACCTTAGTCTCCAGACTGACATTGTTGCTCTTCAGTGCTCTAGAGAGGCCTCTGATAGCAATGCAATGTGTCTTTTGATTTCCTGGCTGCTGGTACAAAGAGTGTTGATTATGGAGCCAAGCAAGCTAAAGCTATTAACAATATCAATATCTTCACTCTCTGTCATAATGTTGCCAATTGGCCCAGTGGTAAGAATATTTGTTTTCTGATGTTGAGCTTCAATCCACATGGAAGACTGCAGTCTTTAACCTTCTGTAGCAAATTCTTAGGAAGCTTTAATGAACAAACAAAAAATCCTTGACGCCTGCCCAACTCCTGGAGAGTATGACTTAGCAGGTCTAGTGTGAAGCCTAAGTGTTGGAATTTTTTTAATTTTAAAAAATTTATTATTATTTTATTGAAAATTTACAGAGACTTTGGATTTCCATTCATTCATTGTTGCACTTTTCTCCCTGCTCACTCCCCCACCCCCCAGTTCACACTTCTCTTTGAAAAGTAAAAGAAAAATTCTTTCATTGTTATACAATCCCTCCCCCCAGTTCCACTCCACTATGTAGCCTTCATTCTGGTAATCACCCAAGAGCTATTGTGGTCTAGGTGGGAGAAAGATGGGCAATCGCCTCCTGTGAGATTTACTGCTGGACGGTCAGCTATCAGTTGGTTCTGACTTGTTGATAACATTGTGGCCTGGTGGTATTTCTGGTAATAACTACTCATATATCCCTTTTAAACAG